ACAACCATATAACATTGAGTAACTACACTAATTACTACTCCAAAGTTAAGGAGGAAGAGGTTACTACTCTACTATAAAGATGAATAAAAAAGAAAAAGCAAAAGGGAAGAGATTAAAAAAGTTATAACGAAAGTCAAACTTAAAGAATGCAAAAGTTAGATATAAATAAAAATCTCAAATCCAAACATTCCTCAAAGATAATCAAAATTACCCTTTATGTGAGTGCATGGAATATAAAAATATGAATAACAATTAACCCAAAACCCCTAACTTATATAGAAGAGTGAATATAACCAAAAGGAAAGATTCAAAAGATTATTTAAAAGAGCTCAAATATAAAAGGAAAGGGCATATAAATAAAAGTGCATTTTTCTTTGAATTGGTTAAGGGTATTGGGATATTTGATATTTAGGTTTGAGTAATATTGGATTGGATAACTTTTTGAGAAGTTTTAATTTAAAATTTAAAATTTCATACTAGAATGGTGTTTGTTGGTTTAAGGGAATCACACCATATATTGAGAGAAGTGTGGTGGATTATAAACAACCAAAATGAGTAATTTGAGAGACATTTAAATATATAAAAGTATTACTTTACTTAATTAATACATTTATTATAGTAATATATAATATATAAATTATTCATTTGGGATTGAATGTGGTTCATCCATTCTTGTATTGCTTATTAAGTAATATAATTTTCTTACATCCCTATGGTAATGATAAGTTATTTTTTGTATTAATGGACTTTTATTATTACATATTTTATTATTAATAATATGACATTTCTTTCAATAAGATATGGATTAAAATATTTTTCTAAATAAAATTTTTAAATATAAAAAAATTCTATACATTTACCAAATATTTGAGATTTACATAAAATTTAAATAATGAAGAAGCTTAACATTCTATTAATAGATAGTGATCATAATATAAAACTTTAGGGATATCTTGTGGGAGTAATTCATTTTTGTGTATGAGACATTGTTGCTAATTTAGAATAAAGAAGAAGACTTTATTTAAGTAACGAAATAACAATCAGTAGTTTTAGTAATAATTGATATCAAAATAAATACTTCTCTAACTTATTATAGTTTAAATAGGAAGTGGGGACTTAAATTTTTTAATTAATTTCTTCTTATATTGAGAACATTAAAGATTTTTTTTAATATTTAAATCATAACTAACTGATATATTATATAATTTAAATATCATAGGACATTTAGAAATTAAATTTGATAGTCAAATTCATAAGTTTAAGTTTTGGACAAACATAAGGACAAAACTTTTAATATAAATTGTTATTGTTAAGTCAGAATTAATAAATTAATTAATTATGTGAATTAAGTTTTCTAATGAAATTTTGTTTTTCATAATGAATGGTTTAATAATGTATAATATGGTTTACTTACCTATGTTGATTAAATGGACTTGTGCATTATTTGCAAAAGGATACGCTGTTACAGCTCGGTATTGTATTATGGATAAGGATCACAAAACTAAAAAGGGGCAACAAGTTTCAAATGAGGGATCACTCTTCTTTCGCAAAGGGTAATAGTTTTACAAATATCTCATTACCAATATTTTATTAATGATTATTTTTTATAATTATTTATTTTTAAAATAATTATATTTCTTTGTGAAACTAATTTTTTTAATATTTATATATATTAGAAGGAGATTTATAATTGTCTTTAAACCTGTATGGGCACATAAGCTCAATCATATAACTAATGTATTTATTTTACATTTTCTTGTTTTCATTGAGAAATTAAATTTTGGGTGGTTGTTTTTTACTACTTTTAGAATATATGTAGTATAGAATACTAATATTAATTTTTTATTTTGAATGGTATTCTTTAGTTTTGTTACAAGAAAAATAAATTAATAGCTTTAAATAATTGGGATGATAAAGAGTAGGAAACTGTTTTAATTTTATGTATCACTTAACAAATGCTAAAATATTGGAAAGTAGGAATTTTTGGGAAAAGGTTTAATTAATACCATGCAACGCAATATTGTTATCTAGTTACACATATATGGGCCATTGCAAGCTCGCTATAGAGGATTGTGACAAACCAAAAAATGTCATATTTAAGAGAAAACAAGAGCACCCTCTCCAAGCTCTCAAACTTGGCTTTATAATCCATTTGTGGGTGGAAAGGCTTTCATACAATACATTGTCTTGGACAGGGATGATTTTTTCTTATAAAACGAGTTTTTTAACTTTAGTATAAAGGTGAAAATATGCTAGAACATACTTAGAAAGCTTCTAAAGTGATTATAAGGTGTCCAAACCATATAATAGCTTGATCATCCATTGTTATTCAAAGTGAAGGTAACGTGGTCCATGCTTAGAGCTACGCTTGCTTTTCCAAATCTCGACTTAGCTGCTTCAAGTTCCTGGCTTCCAGTTCTCTGCCAAGAATTTGTCAACATACAGTTGCATTGCAACAAAATAGACTCACTGAACAGCCGCTCATCACAAGGGACTTGGCGTTGATAGCCTTGGCTTGATCCCCAGCGATTTCTGGATTGACATGAGAAGTTCTCTTATTTCAAGGCTCTGGATTAGAGGGTGGGACACTTACGAGCTCCATGGATGGTATTGTCAATTTCATGAACGAGAACATCCACGTCTTTGGCTTTCAAGCACCATGGTACTCTCTCGCTCTTCCGGCTCACCAAAGCTACGTAGAATTCTCAACTTTAGTGAAAGACGCTTAGCGTAGAGCTTACCAATGGAGTTTCCCGAACTGCAATCCTTTCTAGTGACATCATTAGTTTGCTACCCACTGTGTTTGGGAACATAATAGAAAACTTACGTTCCCGTTTCCTTGTAGATGAAACCGCAGCTTTGTTTCTTTTGGCACAAAGACCAGGATATCACGTTGTGGTGGTCATCTTCGACGCTGCACAGAGTTAGACAAGGCTTCATTACGACGCGAATAACGAAAGGACTTACAGTGGATATGAATCGTTTCCAGAGCACAGCAGATCGTCTCCATAAAGCTCATCTTCGTGCATCAAGTCTTGAGATTGCTGATTTCCAACTCTCAAGTCCTGAAAAGAAAAAAAACCATATACAAATCAGCATACTGCAACACAAGGTCCTTACATTGTTTAAAAGGAGTTCATGCACGGTATACTTTGTGGGAACTCTAGCAAAGCAGGCTCGTAGCGTAGCTCTAATGTACTGCCGCAGACCTTGAGGCCCATAGATTACCACGGGTGGAGGTAAAACTCCAGGCGACAAAAGACCTGGAAGGATGATAAATCGCAACGGTGAGAAGAATAAAACGAGAGAAAGAAAGAGCTTCTTACCAGGGAGTCCAACGATCTGATAGTTCCATTTGGGAGGAAATTTTCTTTGTCAAGGTTCGAGCTAGAACGAAAAAAATGAAAAGACCTTCTTTGGATACATTGTTGATGTCCATGCTCGTTATAAAAATCGTGCACTGCTTCTCGAGATAAGAGGCACGCTGAAGTTCGCGATACACATTGTCTCCGCAGTTAAAAATGAAGCATCGTCCTTCTAAAAGAAAGTTCTCGAAAGCCAAGAAAACAAAAAGAGAGAAAAACTCACCATTTTTTACAAGAAGGCACGGTTCGGTTCTTCCAGGGAAGAGAGAAGTGCCGAGAAATGCGAACTTCGTGCCCTTGTGTTTGCTGTGATCGGACGAAATGTGGAGAAATTTCCCACCTGGGAGCTCGAAAGATTGATCCGTGACAATCTCGACCTTGCGCCTCTCGGCTTGACGGATTTTCACGAGATCGTCACTCACTGCAATGCGTATGAGCCTCCGCGTCGATCGAGAGGTAGATCACCTTACCGGATGAAATGCGCTGCGCAATGCCGCTCTTCCTGAGCTTGGATGCCGCCACTCTCATGAATAAAACGAATGGGGAAATGCTAGGGCTCTTGGGTAAATGGTAAAACATGCTAGGGTTCTTGGGTAGGGTTTTAGTGTTTGCGGCATTCTTGACACGATGATGATCGCCTTTGTGGTGACTGCTGGATGAGCATCACACACAGTTTGTATCCACTGAGTGTCAGATCGAAACCTCCTTCCTCTTGGGCAGCTCTAGCTCTCGCATTTACCCATACAGAGATGAATGCCACGACCCTTCCTGCGCGAGATCGATGCGTTCGAGCGCCTGATCAAGTGCTGCAAGAGCCTGAGCGACGCGCGAGCGATTCACGAGCGGCTCCTGCGCAGCCGTGTGGGCGGCGACACGCTGCTGCGCAACCTGGTGGTGGAGATGTACGGGCGGTGCAAGAGCGTCGACGAGGCGCGCAAGGCCTTCGAATCCATCCCGCAGCCCAATGTTTTCTCCTGGAACATGATGATCGCGGCCTACGCTCACAACAATCTCACGTGCCAAACCAAGAAAATGTTCGACTCGTCGCCTGAGAGGAACGCCGTGTCGTGGAACTCGATCCTTGCGGCATTTGCCAGGAGCGGGCATTTTGCCCAATCGCAAGAAATTTTCTACCAGATGCCCCAGCACACAGTAGTCTCTTTGACAGTGATGATCGTGATCTACGCGGACCACTCTCAGCTCCGCGAGGCATCCGGGCTTTTCTGGAAAATCCCCGAGCGAGACCTCGCCTGCTGGAATGCAATGGTCGCAGCATTTGCCGCGAAAGGGCATCTGGATCAGGCCACAACGCTCTTCGACGAGATGCCCAAGCGCAATGTCATCACCTGGACGGCGATGATCCAGGGCTTCAGCCAGTCCCGTGGCATCGATCGCGCCAGAGGGTTCTTCGATCGGATGTCCTACCGGAATCTCTTCTCCTGGAACACGATGCTCGCAGCGCATTCCCAGCTAGGGCAATGCGCCGAATCGCGCGAGCTCTTCGACTCCATGGCGGAGCGCAGCATAATCTCCTGGAACACGATCCTCCAGTGCCACATCGACGCGCGCGACCTCGACCAATCACAGGTCGTCTTCGATCGCCTTCCCCAGCGGGACCTCGTCTCCTGGAACGCGATGATCGCGGCGCAGGGCCAGGCCGGGAACGTCCACGTGGCTCTTGCCCTCTTCGCCCACGTGGCCCAGGCCGCCGACGTGGTGACGTGGACGGCTGTCGTCCAGGGCCACGCGGCGAGCGGCAATTTGTGCCAGGCCCGGGCTCTCTTCGACCGCATGATCGAGCGCGACGTGGCGTCGTGGAACGCGTTGATATCGTCTTATGCTCAGAACGGGTATCTGAGCGACGCGAGCTCCCTGTTCCACAAAATGCCGCAAAACCATTTTCTGGCCGCATTTGCGCTAATGACCGCACACGCGCAATCCGGGAATCTTTCCCGCGCACGTGCCGTATTCGATTCCATCCCCGACCCAGATTCCGCGGCATGGACAGGAATAACTTCCGCATATGCCGAGTCCGGGGATCTTTCTGCCGCAAGAGCCCTTTTCGAGCGAATGCCTGAGAGGAATCTCGCGGCGTGGAACGCGATGATTGGAGCATACTCGAGAAACGGCCTAGGGCAAGAGGCCCTCGCGCTGTTCGACTCAATGCGGCTGCACGGCGAGAGGCCAGACGATATCACATTCGTGGAGGTGATCAACGCGTGCAGCCATTTAGGACTGGTGGATCGAGGTTGCGAGGCGGTGAGGCTGATGAACCACGACTACCACGGCCAGATGCCCACCAGGGACCACTTTTGCTGTACGGTCGACTTGCTGGCCAGGGCTGGCCGTGTGTACGACGCCGAGGAGCTGCTACACACAATGCCGTACTTGCCGGACAGTGTGGCGCTCAATACACTGTTGAGCGGGTGTAAGATGCATGGTTACGTGGAGGCCGGGAGGAGGGTGGCCATGCACGCGTGTAGCGTCGACACTACCACCGCTAACAATGGAGCGGCTCCTTTTGTGTTGCTCTTCAACATGGTTGCGGCAATTGAGGATTCGTAGCAAAACGTTCTATACCTTTTGATCTAGCTAGAGAGCGAAACAACGTACCCGGGAAAGCTTAGAAGTTGCTAAAGTCGAAATGGCAGTGATCAAATGCGTCGTGGGGCTCGATGTAGCGGCCCTGGAGGAAGGACGATGCGATGATCTTGGTGAACGCCTCGGTGGGATGGACGCCGTCCCAGTTGGCAGCCGCGGCGGGGTTGGGGCAGGACGGCGGCGTGAAAGGCAGGCCATTGACGACGCTGTTGGATCCACACTGCGACGAGACGTTGAAGTTGTAGCGGCCCCCGGTGCCGCAGCAAGCGTGGATCACGTCCTCCATCCCTGAGTGTCCAGAAGTTTTGTAAAAAGTGACTTAAGCGAGGAAGCGTTTTTACCGTAGTTTTGTGGATCGCGTAGGATGTCTCCGGTGATCCGGTAGTAGTCTGCGTAGACGAAGAGCCCGTCTGGATGGACGTTTCGCAGCCGATTCACTGCGTCCATGAGCACATCGTTGTGCGCTTCCAGGACCGCGTTGTATGGGGTAAAGCAGCCGGCGGAGTCGTAGTCCTCCGGATTTGTGTCGACGTGATTGAAGAAGGTTAGCAGCTCCGGCGTGCAACCGACTGGAGGTACGTTGACGATGAGAAAATTCCTGGCCGATTCCGCATAGAGATCCTGGAAGGAATGCCGGTAAAAGTTTTTAAACAACGAACCCAAAGAACCCAAGAAGGATAGATAGACAATGTACCTCGATTCTTTTACCGATTTCATCCACCACGACCGGCACCGCATCGAAGAGCTGATCGATCGTCATGTTGTAGACGAAGAGGCGAGCGTTGTAATCGTTGCCTCCAATGAAGACCACGTAGAGCGCCTTGCTGAAGGAGTTGAGATCCGGCAAGAGGGCGGTGTTTACCGGATTGCTGCGCGCGTCCTGGACCTCGACCTTGAATTTCTTGAGCCAGTAGCACTGGACGCCCAGCGTGTGAGGGACGAGGAATGTGATGTCGGTGGCCGTAGCTCCAGAGGTCGCGAAATTTACCCCGTGCTGGAAGCTGGATCCGACCGCTTGCACATACGGGGACAAGAATGGCAATCCCAGCGCCTCCGCTGCGAAAGATCGACATGCATTCACGGATTTCAACCAAGAAGCGCAGAATTTCGTCTAAGAACCAAGCTTTACCTATGAAATCAATCATCAGCCTCCCGTCGGAGAAGCGATCGCGCGGCCGGCCGAAGAACGTCCTCCCGTATGGGGAATGGCTGGCTCTGTTCTGCTCGAATGGGAAGATCCGCTGCGCATTGCCTGTATCCGTGAGAGAATCGCCGAAAGAGAAGAGCAGCGGGAAGCATTTCGATGACGAATTCCTGCCGTCTTGCGAGTGCCTGCTGCTGGCGCTGGCGCCGATCGATGCCTGCGGGAAAAGAAATAATGCCGCTAGGATTCCGATGAGCGCCGAGCGCATCGCCATCGATCGAGCGAGGCGCGTTCTTGATTCATCAAACGAGGAAAACCATAGCCGTAATATCTAACAGAATATACACAAAACCTGTCAGAATATCCTCTAGGCATATTTCACGCCGGCGAAAGGGATATTCTGGCTGTGACTACATTAATCGTAGACGCTAAACAAAAATTCCAAAATTCTTTGAATGAAAGCTCTCTCTTGCTTGTTCGAAAGCTTTCACTTCTTAAGAGCTTTTGCCGGCGACGCCGCTGGAGCAGTGCTGGGCCTTACTTTGGAGAATTCGTCCTTGTTAAAAACTTCGCCCGCTCGATCTTTGGCCTCGTACAAAAACTCTGTCAATGCTGCGTGCGTCCGGAGCTTATACGTTGCGTGATCTTGGCGAGCCTGTGTGACAAGGAACAAGAAAACGAGAGAAAAGGCTTTAGAAAACTTTCCTCGCACGGAGTTCTACCAGGTGAACGTTGAAGAAGTTGTCTTTAACTTCTTCCTTCTTGAATTGCTGGTGTCCTATCGTGATCTTGTCAGGTTTCTGGAAGAACAGTGGCATGAGAAAAACAAAGATCAAAGCAAAAGCTACTCAACTAGTTGTTTCGGGATGAATCTGCCATCGATGACATCTTCGTTGTAGTGTCCGCCGGGAGAGAGTAACTGAGGACCAAGAGCGCAGCGAGGAGGTATGATGTTATCTTTAGGCCCGAGTTTTCCAGTGATCACACTTCTCTGAGGAACTAAAGCCAAAAACAAAAAGAAGAGAAAGAAAAGGTTGATCTCGTGAACGAATTCATGAATCACGATTTTACCAGGATGATGATGGGGACCAGGTATGATTTTCTTGCATCGTATTCTTTTCGGAGGAGTTATGTCCCGAATGCGGCACTGGGAAAGTAAGAAAAAAACACGCAGTTTTTCATTGAAAATCAAGTTTCCTGGATCGAAATGCTTACCCCGCTTCTGATAACACTGTCGTGATGGCCAGCTTCAATGTATCTTTTGACAGCATGGTGGATTGCAAAGCGCTTCTTAATGTCCGGAATGTGCACTGCGAAATCGAAATCAAAGTTCGAATTCGAGAAAAGCAAACATTACACCAAAGACGAACTAGACATCAAAGCAAACAAAAGACTTACATCCAAAAGGAATGTATTGCATCGTAGTGCAGGCATTTGGATCGAAGAACTGAAGCTCGACAGACCCACAAAGTCAGTGAAGTTTGCCCCATTTTATGGTTTCTTAGTTTTGCTGTGACGAGATCGAGTTTTTGACATTAACCTTTCGCGACCGAGCTAATTGACACAAGAACAAAAGAATACTCACAGTCGATCGCCTCTTGTGCTGCGCCATCGCCGACCTCTTGATAGATTCGATCAATCTCTCGCGAGCGTTTCAGCGCAAGCGTTTCAAACCCTGATGGGGCTTTCGCTTTTGCCCTTTCAACAGATCAGCAAGAAAAACTTACATCCAAAGGCCATATTAGCGCCGCGTGGAAAGTTTTTTGAAATTTGGCGGGAAAGTATCTTCTATTATTCTGGGGGTTAGGGTTCTTCCTCCTCGCCATGGCCTGGCGGTCGTTCAACGCGCTCGTGAATGATCCACAACTGCTCATCTTCGATTCGCGCGAGCAATCGGACTTCGCGGTGGCCCACATCCGGAATGCTGTGTGCGTGCGCGTCAAAGGTGCGTCGCTCGAGTATGTGATGGGCGCGGTCTGGTCCCAGGATTACTGGTGGGGAAGGGATGTTCTTCTTGTTCCTGGGGTTTGGCCGACGAAGGAGGAAAAGAAAGAGAAAGAGAAAGAGAAGAAGCGCAAGGCAAGCGAAGTGATTGTCGATCCAGTTGCCAAGTTTTTAATGGAGGAGAATCGTGTCAAGTCTCTCAAAATCATGGAAGGTGAGCTAGATTTCTTTCGTTTCTTTTTCGCGAAGAAATCTAATTCTTTCGTTTCTGGCATAGATGAGGAAGGCAGGGACCCGTTTGCCTGTTTCTCAAAGCGATATCCTTTTATCATATGTAAGTCTGTCAAACCTTGGGCGATTCCAAGCTATCCAGCTGAGGTACTCGCATAAAAAAATTCTCTTTTATATTCTCATTTCCTGACTCTTGGTTTTAAGATTATACCTCGGTTCCTATACATGGGAACTTGGGAACACGCGAACTCCGTGCCCATTCTCAACGATCTTCACATAACATACGTATTGACTGCTCATACCGAGCGTTTAAAGGAAATCAAAGGATGCACTCACAAGTACTTCGACATTTTTGGTGAGCTCCTTTGATTTTTTTTCCAGGAATCTAAAACTATTGCTTTTTCGCAGATGAACCGAACGCAAATATAACTCAGTATTTTGAACCGGCATTCGAGTTTATAGAGGAGGCAAAGAGAGCGAAAGCTCGGGTGCTCGTCCACTGCGGCGCTGGAGCCAGCCGCTCCGTGACCTTGTGCGCTTACTACCTGATGCGTGTCAACCACTGGGGAGTTGACGAGACAATCAAGTGAAGTGCTGTTCCAAGGTGTTTCGAAACCGATGTTTGTGTAACTTGTGAGTTTATTGTTTCTCGATTTTGTAGGTTCCTCAAGGAGCAGCGCAAGGAGGTTGATCCCAATCCAGGCTTCATCAAGCAGCTGCGTGAAGTCGAGAGGAAACGAAGCGGAAGGCCACCGAAAGAATTTGTTGTGGAAGTTCACAAGGTTTGCCCGTTTTCTGTTCTTCGTTTCTTCCTTGTATAACTTATGGTATCCGCGATCGACAGAGTGGACAGATCGTCGACACGATCAACCCCTGCGAGAAAGAAGAGCTAATTTTCGGTCGCCAAACAACTTGCGACGTCGTCTTGGATCACGCATCCATATCGAGACAGGTACGAAATGGTTTCATTGAATCCTCTCCTTTTTTGTACTCTTCTCGCGGGAATTCATCGCAGCATTTGTCTCGCAGCACGCGAAATTACTCTGGAGCGGAGAAAGTTTGCATTTGGTCGATATGGATTCGGTCCACGGAACTTTCGTGAACAAGAAAAGGGTCGGGAAGAACAGGCAAGAGCTCCAAGACGGTGATTTTATGGCGTTCGGTGCCAGCACAAGAAAATATGTGGTACGCGAGATTTAAAATGGGAAAAGATGCACGGGGATATTCTCCTCGATGTCTTTTACTGGATCGCATTATTTTCGGACCGGTCTGGAGGGAAAATATTTCTTGATCTAGGGCTTAGGGTTCTTGCGGAGCGATGGGGAGGAAATCCCAATGAGCGGCGCCAGGGCGTACCGCAACGGCAGCAGCACAGCGCAGCTGCCGCCATTGCCCCGGATTTCCAAGATTCCTCCCAAAGTATGGGGGATGCAGCATCAGTCGACCAGTAGCCGGGATTGGAGCTCGAAATTCTGCCGATTCTTGAGCAATCGGCGCACTGGCCTCTATGTCGCGGCATTCCTGGCCTGCATCTCTCTTCTCATGCTCGTCAGCGATTTCAGCATTGTGTCGCTTCCCAGGCCGCCATTGCAAGGTATCGGACTGTTACTCCTTCTTGTCTGTTTGTTCTTGGATCGAGTCTCTCCAGTCCCTGTTTGGTAAATTCCCAGGAGAAAAGCAAAGATCCATCTTTGGTTCCACGAATGCGGCAAATGAGACGAGTGAAGCTGCGGCAGGCGCCGCGAGTGTGGTCGAGTACCTGAGGCTGCTGCCTCCGACGTCTTTCCTTGACCCTCCGCTTCCTCATGGGCACCCTTGCGAGTCTTTCACGATGCCGCCCCCTCCTGCGGACAAGAAGAGGACTGGACCACGCCGTGAGTATCAGTCTTTCTCAAAGTTTTACAGCCAAAGTCTGGAACCTTACACTTGCGTGTTGCAGCCTGCCCAGTCTGTTACCTTCCAGTCGAGGAAGCAAAGAAGCTTTATCCTCCATCTGGCGTTTTTCCGTCTCTCATCGTCCAGAACCTCACCTATGTACGAGAAGATGCTTCTACTGCGGCAACTTCGCCGGGATCGGCTTTTGGCGGCCATCCCACCTTGGAGGATCGCAAAAGATCACACAAGATAGAGGAATCGATGCACTTGTACTGCGGGTATGGTTCTTTTAAGTTTCTATTCTGTCTACTCACATTGTCCAATGCTCTTCCAGTTTTGCCAGGGGAATCAAACCCGGTGTTGGTTCCGGTTTCGACATTGACGAGTTCGATTTGTATGACATGGAAAAGTGCCATGGCATTGTGGTTATCTCTGCCATCTTTGGTAAGCTTTCTACGGCTGTTTCTTCTCGTCTTATTCATATTGTTCTACAGGGAACTATGACCCCTTGCAGCAGCCCAAACACATCAGCGAGCATAGTAAGAAAAACGTTTGCTTTTTCATGTTTGTCGACGAAGAAACCCAGGCAGCAATCATCAAGAGGGGTGGTTCTTACTCTAGAACTAAAAAGGTTGGTCTGTGGAGAGTGGTGACAGTCCACAACATTCCTTACTTAGATCCAAGGCGCACTGGGAAGGTAGGTGTTTATAGCTTGTGAATGATATGGAATCACTCAACGTTTCCTTCTGTGCAGATCCCGAAACTTCTCTCGCATCGCCTATTTCCAAATGCAAGGTTCTCTCTGTGGATCGATGGCAAGCTCGAGCTCGTGGTTGATCCCTACCAGATTATGGAAAGGTACGTCCGTAGTTTGGTGAAACAATCCTGCATGAACGTTTTTTCTTTTCTCAGATTTTTGTGGAGAACGCACGACACCTTCGCCATCTCCAAGCATTACAAGCGCTTCGACGTTTTCACAGAGGCAGAAGCTAACAAGTTAGCTAGAAAGTACAACAATGCCTCCATTGATGCGCAGGTGAATTTCTACCGCAAGGAAGGACTGGTGCCTTACACAACTGCCAAGCTGCCAATCGTTAGTGGTATGATACAAAGAATCGCGGGTTTGGGATTCACTAACTTGTGCTGCTAGACAGACGTCCCCGAGGGCTGTGTCATCGTCCGCGAGCACACTCCGCTGACAAACTTATTTACGTGCCTGTGGTTCAATGAGGTGGATCGTTTCACATCGCGAGACCAGATAAGCTTTGGGATCGTCCGGGACAAGATCATGGCCCAGGTTCCATGGCGGATCAACATGTTCCTGGATTGCCAGAGACGAAACTTCGTGGTGCAGGTAACTTTTGATCTTGGGTAAGAGCAATCTTTGATCTTGGCGCTGGTTTGAGCAGGGATATCATCGAGACGTGATCGAGCAAAGACGAGCTAGTTCCAGGCGGCCCCCGGCCCCTGAGTTAAGCACCGCGAAAGCTCCGCGACAGCGCTTGCAAGCTCCCATCGCCAAGAACGCGAAGAGAGTCAGCCATAGCGGCAAGGTTGCATAAAAGTTTCTCTCCCGGTTTTGGTTACCCTGTATAGGAGATTCGTTTGTCTCTTTCCAGTTGATGGCTGTTGTGAATTACAATAGCCTGAGACGATTTTTCGAAGAGAACCTGTGCGCGAGTTTTTTTCTTTTTCTTTAGAACTCGTACGTCGATCAAATCCTGTGCTAAAATGCGTGTTACCAAATAAAATACACGAAACAAACCTCCGCTCATTGATTGTGGTAAATGCTTTGCCTTGTCCGGACTGATCGCGCAGTCCGAACGGTTTCAGTCCTACATTTTCCAACGTGTAAGTTTTTTCCACTTGAAAATCCTGAAAGTTTACCTTGCTGAAACTCCCCAGGAGTCGTACGCTGAGACGATTTCTGTGGATTCGGTGACTAGGCCAGTCGTGTCCACCACTGGTCTTGAATTTACGAACGGATGGTCCAAGAGTTTCGACGCTGTTGGCCGTTTAGAAGGATCCGCTTGTAAGCACTCTAAGATAAAATCTCGAGCGTCTCCTTGGATGGAGTCGGGAATTTCAGGGAGCGCCCCACGACCAACTCTGAAGAAGACGGTGTTCTAGCATAGCGAGGAAGGGGTAAGCAGCAGCGCGAGAAAAGGAGATGGCAAGACAACGTACCCATTCCCAGTCACTAAATGGAGGCTTTCCGGTGGCCATTTCAAGAACAGTGCACCCCAAGCTCCAGATATCGGCTGGAAAACCTGCTGTTTTCTTCGGGTTTATAACCTGAAAGACACTGAGAAGTTGTGAGCATTTTGTGAGACGGGTAAAGATTGCCAAGGCCAACCTCCGGAGCCATCCAGTACACGCTTCCCTTACAGGATCTCATGCTGTCTATTTTCTCCAACTAAAAATGAGGCAGAAAAGTTGTTTAGAAAGGTCCTGAAGCACAAGAAATAACTTGCCTGCTTGGCCATTCCGAAATCAGCAAGCTTGACCGTTCCATGAGCGTGAACAAGAATGTTCGCGCACTTTATATCTCTGTAGAAGCCATGAGGTTGCGGTTACTATGTGCGCTGCCACATTGTTTCATATCATACCTGTGCACAACCTTCTTCTCATGTAGGTACTTGAGTCCAGAAAGGATCTGCTTCGTATACTTCCTAATTTGTTCGTCGAACATTTCAAAGTGTTTGTACTGAGATACGATAGACCCCTGGGTCACCAGCTCCAGAAAAATATACAGCTTGTCGTTCGTCTGGAAAGGATAAGTGAGAATGCAATATCAATCGAGAAACCGTGAAAGCACCTTACTTTTTGTGTTCCTAAGTATTGTACAATGTTTTCGTGTCGGAGGTGACCCAACAAATTTACCTCCTGGAAAAGCATCCTGTCAGGGCATTTGTTTAACGACTGAAAAAACTCTCACCTGTTGTAGCTGAAGACCACTTTGGTCATTTGCGTTGGAAAGAGGGACCTCCTTCACCGCAAAATAGTTCCCATCACTGCACAAGAACGAACGTAGAAGCTTAGAAGAAAACATGTTGAAAGATATCTAGTACCTGCCAACAGCCCGATAAACCGAGCCGAAGGACCCAGATCCCAGCAACTCGAGCTTCTTCCATGAACTCCAGGATAGCCTTGTTGTCAAACTTGTTGGCTGTTGACTTTGCTCATATTCCACCGCCTCAGTTGGATGTGTATCATCTGACGCCTGCGAATCCATACTCCGGCCCTTATCTTCACCGCCATCACCCGAGCTGCTATGGCTTCTCGAATCCGAGCTCCCATCGTTTAGAAAAGTAAAGTCCCGATCCAATACGGCGGCTTGAGCCTCGCCACGATCGCGATCATATGAAGTGGAGGCTGAGTCCGGACTAGAAGACAAAGGACTGAGCTGCCTCGTTGTATCTTCCCGAGACTTTTCCTCGAGAGAGTAGCTACGGGGTTGATCAACCTCGAGAGTGTTCCTTGAAGGAGGCGGCTCAAACGATCTCGTCCGGATGCCCAGCCTAGATGGTAGCACCAATTTAGTGCTTGGATTCTCAGCTTCCGGATGCCCACTGAATTGCAACTCACCGGAAGAGGGCCGGCTCATCCTGTTATTCCATTCGCTTGCCGGAATCCCCAGCATATCTGGCCTCGTGATACCAATCCTGCTGAGCATATTCGACACGCTCTCATCGTCGTCTCCATCCAACCTGAATAGATCCTTCTCATCGCCTGGCTCGGTAGAATTATAGCTTGTGTTTCTCCCCAATGCGTTCACTCTATCTAACCGCCGCCTCCCGCTAGATCCCGAGTGAGAAAAATCCTTCTCCATCACGACCTGGAAGCATTCTACCAAGAATACGAGATTTCCATGCCGCTGCGCGTCCTGGGAGAATCTAGCGCCCGCATTCTAGCGATTTCTAGCTCCTGTGCTGTGCTCACCAATCCCTAGTTGCAGCTCCAAAGCCTCCTCCATCGCGAAAACCCTACGCGCTCAACCTAAAGGAGGGAAACTATTTGCCAGCTAGGCAACTGAGCTGGCACGGCTAGAGCCGTCGGATCGAGACTCGCCATGTAGACTTTGTCAGTGAGCGCGCTTCGGTCAAATAGCTCGGTGAGTGGCCAGGACCGTCCGATCTGAGCACATCTTGGCCGTCCACGCAGGCCATTAGTGCATCTTTGTGTCTCGTTTTTCTTTCTCTTCGTTGGATACAACTGCTACTGTTTGGGATTTCTTTTAGTATGTGTTCTTCACGGGGGGGAGTGGATCGATCATGGCGGCTGCCAAGGAGCGAGGTCGCGCGCGCCTGGATTCGTCGCTCATGTCGCCAGCCCTCTCGCAGCGAGCTGGAATCGTCCAGATCGTGCGGGATCAGCTAAGCGCGAGCCCGGCACTGGGTAAGCATCCAAGATGATTGATCCATCGCGCATTCGCAGATTTTCTAGGTCAAATGTAGGCTTCCTGTAGAGGATTGCACTGTCGATCAGGTGTTTGTGGCTGAAATCTTCGATAATTTCTTCCAGACAAGCACTACCATGCCTGGTCCCAGGAGACGATCGACAAGGTCGCCGAGAAGCGAGCGACGGAGATTTCTACGTTTTTGGATGCGCTGAGAAGCGCTCGCCAGGAGCTCCTAGACAACGAAGACACGCCATTCTCATGGAAGGTAGTGTAATCACATCTTCGCTCTGATCGAAAGGAGAATTTATTTTGGTGGTTTTGTCAGATCAAGGAGGAAACGGATGTTATGCGTGTTATGTATCGGCCAGGCCCAGAAGGCATGCCATTCCACACTTACTGTGTTGAAGGCATTGTGAATGGACCCATGATGAATGGTAGGAAAAAAAAATTTCTCAGATGGTTTTCTCAAGCTTTGGCCTTTTGGGATTTTTTTTTCTTTGTCGCAGCTATCTGTGTGGCTTGGGAAGCTCCAGCGTTTTATACATGGTATGTTGGAGCTTTGTTTCTGCGAGTTCCTCGTTGACGTCTAAACAGGTGGCCGCAGTTTAACATGCCGACGTTCAAAGTTGTGGAATCCAAATGGGTGAAGAGAATTCGCGTCGGCGAGGATCTGTGTCATATAAGGTATGCGGCTGCGTTGTGGTTTCAGTGTTAACTAAGTTCTCCAGAGTCAAGGTACCGTGGCCTCTGGCGCAACGGGAGGTTCTCATGACCGAGTTTGAGCTGGAGTACTTTGAGGACGACGTTGTGATTGTGACTTTTGGCACGGTATGCTCGAAGTCCCTGTGTTTCTGCTCTTAGCTGTTTGCAAAATCGACATGTGTGTAGGCTCCTTCAGATCCAGACGAAGGTGAAGAGGAGATTTATGGATTTTCTGCGGACGAATTACCCCCTGCCACACAGGATGTCGTTCGCATGGAAGTTTCAGGTGGATTTATGCTGCAAAAGATGACCAACGAGCAGAGCTTCTTCAGGTAGTTTGAAGCTTGTCGACGTTCTCCGTGTTTTCAGTTTCACCTCAGTTTTTCGCAGGACGTTGGTCAATATGGATATAAAGCTCGACTTTGTTCCACCTTGGGTGATCAACTTCATCACACGGCAGCTCGTTGGCAGTGGCTACAAACTTTATCAAAAGGTACGCGTTGCCTACAAGTTTGTGCTTTTCTAAACCACTCAGCGGTTTGTTCCCAGGCCGTGCTATCTGCAAGCCAGCATAAAGTCTTCCAAAAGCTCATGGCTTCGGAGCCTTTGTACCATCGCATCAAGGACGGCATGAAACGATCAGAGAAGAAGCAAATGGAGACCAAGAGAATCACCGCTGACACTGCCACTGACAAAATCGAAGAAGTAAAGGAAGCAGCTTCGACATCACAAGAGCTGGTAGAGCGATTTCGTGCCGAGAAACTCCAAGCCCCCGACCGGCAAGAGGTCATCCACATCGACTCAGAGGTGGAGCGTGCATTGCAAGTTCTAGACAAGATCATCGAGCTCGTGGAGGACATGAAGTCACAGACAACGTCCTCGGACCCATTTCCGCCAGCGGCGACAGCATCGATGAGCGCATTAGAAAACGGCGACGTAGCGAAATCGTCACTGCCCAAGAACGCCAAGAAAAATCTCGCCAGTGACACTAGCTGCTTTGGCTCTGGAAGAAGGCCACTTCTCCAAGCAACGAGACAACAGACATCCAAGCTAGCGTTGCTCAAAGATATTTTAAAGGGAAAATTTAAAGGGAGGGATGGGATTTCCCGTTAAAATCTTTAAACTAGGGTTCTTCGGGTGAGCTTTGGCGGGAAGTAGAATGCGGGTATTACTGTGGATTATGGCGCAAGCGATGATCTGGGGGACGATTTTTTCAGGTCTTGGATTGCTGGGAAGCTCAGCGCGGCGACGGGGCTGGATCTTGCCGCCTCGGCCCATGGCCAAGACCGGGAAGACTCTTCAAATTGGTTTCTTGCTTGCGGATGTGATTGATCGATGCGATGCGTCTTGTTGCAGCGATGGATTTGGACCTTGATGGAGGTTTCAACAAGCTAGCCTCGTTCAATATCGATCTCGAGGTATTGACGCTGCGACGGAGAAGAATGCTGACACAGGATCCAAAACTAAACAAGTGAGTTCTCTTTTTTCTCTTGTCTTTGCAAGCTCTAAGTTCTTGCACAGAAAGGATCCTCTAGTATCCTCGAGACAACCTACATGTTGATCTCTCCGGCCTAGGAATGACAAGAGCGCTGACACAGGATCCAAAACTAAAGAAAGTGAGCTTTTTTTTCTCTAATCTTTGCAAGCTCTAAGTTCTTGCACAGAGAGGACCCGTTTTTCTCCTGTATCGAGGCAAGCTACCTGCTGATCTGTCCGGCCTAGGTTCTAGGAATGACAAGAGCGCTGACACAGGATCCAAAACTAAAGAAGTGAGTTCTCATTTCTTTTTTTTTTGCTTGAGAGGCCAAGCTCTAAGTTCTTGAGGATTCTCCAGTATCTCATAGCTCTGCTCGAGATAAGCTTGTTGATATCTCCGGCCGATCCAAGACTAAAAAAGTGAGTTTTTTATTTTCTATGGAGACAACCTGTTGCAATTACTGTGTTGAATTGTCCCTGATATCCGTTTAGGGCAAAAGGGACCGAAGGTCGCAGGCGCGATGGTGCTGTGGGAGCTCACTCTGGCGACGGCGTACTTCCTTGGGCTCAAGCGCACCTATCGCCTGGCACTGAGGATCCAGAGAAAGGTCCTGCCCAAGAGCGGGCGCCTCCGGTGTTTCGCGCAGAGGTATGCTTGATCTCCCTAGATTCTTAAACCGTGTTCTTGCTGCTTGTCTTGAGCTAGTTTTGCTCCATAAGTCGAGAATGCTGGTCGGCATCTTTTTCTTTCCGTGTTCTTGTTCGAGAGTAGGATTTGTTTTTCCCCTTTAGAGGAGCTACTTGTCATAGTTTTGCTCCATAAGTCGAGAGTACTGACCGACATCTTTTTCTTTCCAAGGCGGACGCGGTTTGCATTTGACACCGTCATCAAGATCCAGAAGAAGTTCGCAGCATGGGACATGTCTCCCGGCAAACGGCTTGGTAACTGGATTCTGAGGAGATCTCCTGCCGCTCCACAAATCGGGAAAGATCCTCCTCTCAAGATCGAGAAAATGCCAACGCTTCCTCCCGTCCGAGCTATAGCGCCACCATCCTTCAATCCTCTCGGTAAGAGCTTCTTTCCCTCCTTTGTCTTAAAGAAATACAATCTTTTCGTTCGCAGGGAGCTTGAAGTCGAGCTGGAGGCCACTGAACAAGGACATCGAGAAATCCCAGAGACTTTACTCCGTGCTCCCGGGAGAAGTCTCGTACGAGAGGTCTCGTCTCAAGAGCAGCATCATCCGCGAAGACATCGCCATGTACGCAAACCTCCCGCTCAAGTACAGCAGCAACACGAGATCGAGCTGGACGGTTTGATGGATTCCGTTTTTGCGTCGGTCAGAGTTCCGGTTTCCAGCGACGATTTTGTCCTCCTTTTGCCCTCTCCTTTGTCCCTGAGGTATGCATCGTTTTGGTTTCGATCAGCCGTCAAAAGTGACCATTTTTGGTTCTAACACGACTGAGAAGGAAAAGCTTCGAGTGTCATTTGCAGGAAGACTCTGAGAAAGAGAGATTGTTCCATAGATAATGAAAAACGTCCCGGAGTCCCGTGTCAATCAAGAGATCTTCTCGCTGGTACTTCTTAGGTGATGATGCTCAAGCTTGGGATAAGGCAGGGAATGGGCGGCCAATGTCCTAGAGCTACTGGGATATGGGATTTGACCAGGAAATGGAGAAGAAGAAGAAGATAGATAGATTAAAAAAATGGGTCTCTCTCTTTCTCGTCTCTCTCTCTCGTCTTGATCGATGGAGACCACTTCATAAATTTCCAGAGAGATGGGTCGCAGGTCATATAGCTATGGCGGGACCAGGGGCTCGTGTAGGCAGTCCTCGTCAATCTAAAGAGAAAAAGAAGCAAAGCCATGGAGATTAGACGATATTGATATCTCTCGCCTCTCTACATTGCGAAGAGCATCTTCTCGCAAGAGGACGGCCCCAACAGATAGAATATAATATGGGGAACAAGACAAGGCAGTTTGGGGGGGTGTAAGGGATCGCGTGAAATCAGAGAAAGATGCCACAGGAGAAGAGGTCTCCCTCCATCGATCGATCCAGGCGCGCAAGTCAAGCTTCTTTCTTTTTTCTCTCCCTCTCGCCCTTGAAATAAAGTTTTAAATCTCTTTTTTTTTCTGTACATATAACAGCAAAGGTGGCGGACCAAGAAAATGAGCCAGAAAAGGAAAAAAGGCGGCGCAGCAAGATAAGGGAGAAAGAAAAAAAAGGAAAGCTAAACACTCAGTCGGACGATGAGAGCTGTGGAGACGAGGATGGATCGTCCGACGATGAGACACTGGACGGGGCGCGGCAAAAGAGCGCCCTCTGTTGCAAGTGCCTCATGCTCTGCTCCATGCTCAGCTGGACCATCTCCGACAGCATCTTCCTCGCGGTGATCTCCTCCTCCTCCTCGCCACCGCCGCCGCCGCCGCCAACCTCGCACTCCATGCCATCGATCGCTCCTCCTCCGCCGCCACCGCCGCCACCGCCGCCGCCAGCACTGGAGCTCCGCGCCGGCGACTCGCGCAGGAGCTCCAGCAGCGTGTGAGCCATCCGCTGCGCTCGCGGCGTGCCCTGCACCGTGAGCTCCAGCAGCCCCGGGATGGCCCCCTCGTCCAGGATCGCGTCGCGGTACTTGGATCGATCGCTCTGGCACAGCGCCAGCAGCGTCCCCACGGCGTGCTCGCGGCTCTTGCTGGATCCGTCCTCGAGCACCTCCACCAGCGTGAGGATCCCACCCTCCACCTTGCCGATGGATGCCCGCGCGTCCTCGAAGGCGGACAGCGATTCCAGCAGCGAGGTGGCCTTGTCCGCGACGTTGCCCGATTTTTTGCAGCTATTGAGGAGGAGGAGGAGCGGCGGCACCGGGCGCGCGGCCAGGATTGGTGGGCGATTCTCCTGGAGCGTGGACAGGTTGTAGAGCGCCATGACCGCGTCCACCTTGCCCTGGACGCTGCCCGAGGTGAGCATCTCCACCAGCAGCGGGATGGCGCCAGAGGAGCCGATGACGGGCTTGTTGCTCGGCGCGGCGGAGAGGGTGTAGAGCGCCGCGGCGGCGGATTCGCGCAGCGTGGAGCCGGTCTGGAGGAGGTCCACCAGCGGCGCCACCGCGCCCGACTTGACGATCTTCACCTTGTTCCTGGAAGAATTCGAGCGTGAGATAGCCTAGATACGAAGAACAAGGAAATCAATGCGAGGAACACGATACCTCTCATTCCCCACGGCGAGATTTAGGAGCGCCAGGAGCGCCGCCTCTCTGGAATCGTGGCAGGAGGACTTGAGCATCAGAACCAGCGGCGGAATCACGCCCGCCGCCGCGAGGTAGACCCTCGTCTTGGCCGATGTCTTGGTGAGCCTGCGAATCTCTCTGGCGGCCCTCAGTCTCACATCTCCTGCCCCAAACATGAACGACCACACGATGTCCTGGATGTTCTGCTTGATCGATCCTCCCGCGCCGCCGGCCCCGGGGAGCATCGCCATTGGATTCTCGGGAGAGGGCTTGCCGAGCGTGAGTAGCTTGGAGCGCTCCATTCCCAGCTGGTAACGCATCTCTCGCCTCGAATCCTTGGCCTGCTACAAGCGATTCCTCGCCGTAATCTCGCGTTCTTGCCCTCTATCGCGCCGCCGGTCGTGATCCCCCACTCTACACCTGGAATTCATGGCTGCTCCTATCGATCCAGATGCCGCTACCGCGACCAAGCCCTACGCGAGACTCTCATCCTTCGATTCCTGCGGTTCCTAGAAGCTGCCCGGAGCTAGATCTCTACTTCTTCCACTGTTCTTCCGGACAAGCTCCAAATTTCTCTATAGAACCTAACGAAGAATCCCTCTTCTTCTTCTTCTTCTTCTTCGGGGCGAACGCCTGGGAGCGGGGAGACGCCGTACATCCCGCCACGTATATTCCTCAATCCAACGGTCGCGGTGCCAAGAGGGAGTGATCCGACGGCGCCGCGCGCCGGGAGATCGCTGCGGTTGGTGGGGGCGTCGGCGGAGCGATCGCCCGACCCAATTTCGCGCCATCTCTTTTGTATTTACATGGTTTGGCATTTATTAGAGATATAACATTAGTTTCAAATCAAACATTCCTTTTCCTTTCACTTTGTCTTTGTGAGGTTCTTTTTAAATTTTCGTGGGAAAGAAAGAAGCCCTAGTCCTTCCATGGGCAACACGTTGCCACGTTGTAAGCAGTAGTTACATGCGTGCGATTCATGCAAATATACACAAGACTTGACAACCACCTAGAATATCAGATTTTTCCAGGCTTGATATTTTTGATAGCACGTCCTGCCAATACCATACCAAAATATATAATCTTCTTAACCTTAACTCTCGAAACTTATTAAACTAAGTAGCACGATCAAACGTTTACGTTTGACGTTGGACAGTAAACAAACCAAGCACCTCAGACTTTAGAAGGTTCTCCCAGTAATTCATTCACAGAGCGCCTGAGAAGCTGGATGTGAAGAGAAATGTAGTAAGGAAAGGAAGCAAGCTCTTTGAAACTGAGAAATGCAAGGATATTTTCTCGTCGTGCAGGGGACTGTTGAGCAACAGCAGCTTGTTGTTTGCAACGATCGCCCTCACCAGAAGATCTGTGGCTTCCTCCTTCTTCTGCTTGAGCATCTTACACATCTAGAATGCGAAGGACATGAAAGGAGTTAACGTTAGGAGGTGAAACAAGCCCTTCACCTCCTCCAGAACTTCCGTGTAGCAGTCCACTTTGTCGACCACCTCGTTTTCAGGCTTCTCCAGCAGTGGAGGAGCAGGCTCCGGTCGCCACTCCATCTCTTGCGCCTGGAAAACTCTCCAAGATAAGTAGACTTCTTAGCAGGAACTACTTACATCGATGGCCAGCGGGGGGGGAGCCTCCGGTCGCCACCCCATCTCTTGCGCCTGGAAAAATCTCCAAGGTAAGTAGACTTCTTTGCAGGAACGACTTACATCGATGGCCAGCGGGGGAGCAGGCTCCGGTCGCCACTCCATCTCTTGCACCTGGAAACTCTCCAAGATAAGTAGACTTCTTGGCAGGGACTACTTACATTGATGGCATAGATGGCAGGATTGTTCTCTCGAGCAGGAGGAGGTGATGAAGAATACTCGTCCACCGATCGTACCACATCTTTGCCTTTGGATCCGTTGCTCTTCTCCTTTGCAGCATCAGAGTGGTCTACCTCAAAGGAGTCCAGCTTATCTGCTGGAACCTAGGATGGAAAGAGATTAACATCGTTCTTTTCTCCTTCAAAACAAACATACTCACATCTTTACTTGTGGATCCAGCGTCAGTGTTATTGTCATTCCTAGAATCCGGGCCGGAGAGGTCAACACGTAGCTTGTCTCCAGCAGCGGTTCGAGATACTGGAGAAGACTGTATCCTCAAGAACTTAGAGTTTGGCCTCAAGCAAAAAAAAAAAGACAACTCACATCTTTAGTTTTGGATCCGGTGTCAGCGTTCTTGTCATTCCTAGAATCCAGGCCGGAGAGATCAACACGCAGCTTGTCTCGAGCAGGGGTACGAGATACTGGAGAAGACTGTATCCTCAAGAACTTAGAGCTTGGCCTCTCAAGCAAAAAACATAGAACTCACTTCTTTAGTTTTGGATCTAGTGTCAGCGTTCTTGTCATACCTAGAACCTAGGCCGGACAGATCAGCACGTAGCTTGCCTCTAGCAGGGAGACGAGATACTGGAGAAACAACGGGTCCTTTCTCCATCGACTATATCCTTCAAGAAGTTAGAGCCTGGCCTCTAAAGCAAAATAAACAGGAGAACTCACTTCTTTAGTTTTGGATCCAGTGTCAGCGTTCTTGTCATTCCTAGAATCCAGACCGGAGATATCAACACGTAGCTTGTGTCGAGCAGGGGGGCGAGATGCTGGAGAAACAACAGCCATCGACTGTAACCTCAAGAACTTAGAGCTTGGTCTTTTAAGCAAAAACAAAAAAAGAACTCACGTCTTTAGTTTTGGATCCTGTGTCAGGGTTCTTGTCAGAATCCAGGCCGGAGATACGCAGCTTGTCTCGAGCAGGGGAACGAGATACCGGAGAAATCTCCATCGACTGTATCCTCAAGAACTTAAAGCTTGGCCTCTAAACCAAAAAAAAAGAGAGAGAACTCACTTCTTTGGTTTTGGATCCAGTGTCAGCGTTCTTCTCATTCATCGAATCCAGGCCGGAGAGATCAACGCGCAGCTTGTCTCGAGCAGGGGGGGGAGATACTGGAGAAATCTCCATCGACTGTATCCTCAAGAACTTAGAGCTTGCCTCTAAACCAGAACTCACTTCTTTAGCTTTGGATCCAGTCTCAACGTTGTTGTCGGAGCGATCAGTGTCTCGAGCAGGGGGACGAGATACTGGAGAAATATCCATCGACTGTATCCTAAAGAACTTGAGCCTCTAAACAAAAAAAAAGAGAAAAACTCACTTTGTCAGGGTTCTTGTCGGAGAGATCAACGCGCAGCTTGTCTCGAGTAGGGGGACGACAAACTGGAGAAACCTCCATGGACTGTATCCTCAACTTAGAGCTTGGCCTTTAAACCGAGAACTCACTTCTTTAGTTTTGGATCCAGTGTCAGCGTTCTTCTCCATCGTAGCGTCAATGCCAGGGAGATCGAGATCGATATTAAACGAGGCTAGCTTGTTAAAACCTCCATCAAGGTCCAAATCCATATCGCTGCAACAAGATTCATCGCAGCGATCAATCACGTCCACAAGCAAGAAACGATCGGAATCCATCCACTCACAATTTGGAGAGATCAAACGTCTTCCCGGTCTTGGCCATGGGCCGAGGCGGCGAGTCGTCAAGATCCAGCCCCGGCGCCGCGGTGAGCTTCCCAGGCTTCCAAGACGTGAGGAAATCGTCCCCCAGATCATCGCCTGCGCCATAATCCACAGTAAAACACCCGCATTCTACCGGCATCGAGAGAGATCTTACCGAAGCTCCCGGCCGCCTTCCCCATCGCCTTCCCGCCAAAGCCCACCCAGAGAACCCTAGTTTAAACATTTTCCTCTTAAATTGTCTTGTCACTGGAGAGAGTTTTTCTGGCGCTCTCGGGCAGTGTCAATTTTTCTACCTCGCCGTTTCCTACTTTGCTCGTGGATGCTGAAGCAGCCGAGACCGCTGAGGGAAATGGATCCGAGGACGCTGTCTGTGACTTTTAAGTTCTCCACGAGCTCGATGATCCTGTCGAGAATTTACAATGCACGCTCCACCTCTGAGTCGATGTGGATGACCTCTGGGGCTTGGAGTTTCTCGGCACTAAATCGCTCTACCAGCTCGAAGCTCCTTCCTTTACTTCTTCGAATTTGCGAGTGGCAGTGTCACCGGTGATTCTCTTCATCTTCATTTGCTTCCTTGATGCGATGGTACAAAGGCTCCAAAGCAGTTTGAGTTTCTTAAATTTTTCTTGAATGATCGTAGGCCGGTGGAACTTCATTCTTGAAATTGCTTGTGAATGTTCCACTTTCTGACAGAGAAAATAAATTGACTGCTCAAGCTGGGTAACATACTCATACTTTTAATTTTGAGAATAGCTATCAATCATAAGCCAAAATCTAATAATAGAGGGTTGCCATAGAATGGTGAGACTCCTCACTAGATAGTAGATATTGGGTTGAGGACATAATGAAAATGTAGAACAATCATTGTAGTATCTATGGTGCTCAATGGATTGAAACACATAGAGTTAGTAATAATCTTTAACATATCATAAACAACTTAATTCATCATAAGCATTATTCAAATTAAAAAGCATTAACAAAAACTCATATAAACTGTATATTCTTTAATATGCAATTTTGAGGATGTTCTTATTGCCCAGTTACTGTTGGTTAGTACCTCCTCCATCTTCTCACTCTCAAATGCAAATTGGTTAGAGTCTAAAAAAATTCACATTCAAGATCATGTTGATCCACATCATCTTAGTACTTGCAACTGTCTTTAGAATACATATACTTTAGATTGTTAATTATAATTATATTTGGTACTAGTGCATGGATATTGGTGCTGGCTTATGAGAAGTCAATGCAACAAATCAACTTTATTATTTAAGACAAATTTAATTAAGGCGGCACAACATGACAAGCTCTAGGAGCAGTTAGTTATGCACTATTTGATACTTTATCAAGGTAATCCCTCCTTTTCCACCTAGCATTAGCAGGTGTATGCAGAGAATCCATATGACGTTAAAAACTTATCTTCATCTCTTGCTTGGGTTTTTTATTTTTTTGGTATTAAGGACTCTATAGAGCAATTTAAAAGTTGGTCACTGCTCAAACTTTGTGATGCATATGGTGTGTGTCACAATTTGTATTGTAAGAGTTATACAAAATATAATATAACATCTTGTTGATTCAATTTTGAAGCCATTTATAGTAGTTATGCCCAAAACAATTGTTTAAGAGTGTAGCACTACATAAGATGAAGTGTGATCATCATATATCCAGTACAAAGTAAGTTGTTTCCATACTAGATTCTATGGTTGTTCCAAGTATGGGTCAAATTCAACAAGCCATTAGATGTTATTGGATATTTATATTTGCTTTAGGTACTCCAAAACTTCCTTTTATTGAGCTCACTTTGGTTTTGCAAGCATACTAGCCCATAAAGTTGGGATCTTTAAGATCCTTTACAAATGGTGGACCTCATTATGAAACATGGATGACCTTCAATGAGTTGTGTGAGCTTGAATTAGAAATAATAACACTTTATAGAGTGATTTGGATAAGTGTATCAACTTCTTTTATATCTTCCTTGTCTAGTCAATGCATCACCATTTGACACTATAATTAATTGTGCAACTCTTGTTTTTTACCTAACTCTATCTACATTAAAGGCTTTATGATGTATAAAATTGTTATTATGAAAAAACTAGTGTAAGAGGATGGTTGATAGCCTAGAGTAGGAACTTTAGAACACTAATAGATAATAATTTGTTTAGCATGAGTCAAAATGAAAATGAAAATGCATGAGATCATGATCAAGAACTTCTTTAGATGGTTTGTGTGTAGAGAAGTGCTACCTAAGTATTACAAAGAGAGAATTATAGATTAAATAGTTTACACCCCATAACTGCACAAGCTCTTTGATTTTATAACAATACTTAGCCTCCTAACTCACAGCAACTTCCTTTCTCTATTATGCCCAATATTTCTCAAGCACATTCCATTTGCCCATAAATGATCATTTCATCCTTTGATATTGAGACTCCCTCTATTTTATATGTATTTCCAAAGTTAAATTGCATCCCAATATAACAAAAACTGCTTACAATCAATGCAATGGTGAGAGGGTAGCATAGTGGGAATTCCTTCTTAGATGATAGAATTTAATATTCAAATGTAGTTTTGTAAAGAAGTATATTAAATTAATTATCTCCTCATGTGCTTATTGAATATTAGTTCATTAAGTTTGTCAACAAGACTTTTTATCCCATTGAGACCTTTATATGCCATGTTTTTTATTTGAATACTATCATGTATAAAAGCATAGATATAAAGACAAACTAAAAATAATGAAGTTTGAGCTTTAGATCCATTTACCTTCAATAGGCATAAAGCTTGATACTTTTTGTTTAAATGGGAATTGGGTGTAGTGCACTTGAATTTGGAGCCGAATTCCAAGCCGGTTACACTACGAAATAAAGGTCTAGTACAATTCCATGAGCACCAACTCTTCGTATCCAGCACTTGTACGCAAAATGGTGTTAAATGGAGTCTGACACAATTTTGGCATACTGGTAGCCTAACACGAGGAGGAGGATACCCCACCGACTAAAGTAGTATGGAGTTTGGGCTTAGACCCAACTTGGACGCAGAACAAAGAGCGACACAACCCAGTGAGAGCCAAACTAATGTCTCAGGTGGTCGGATATGCATTCCAATCACTATCCCTACTATACATTTAAAACCCCCTTTGAGGAACACATGCTTTGGGCTTTCACCCTAAGCCTCCCTTAGTACCAGGAGTTAGTCTTTGGGACAAGCTCAAAACTTATTAAATATAGAATGCCTTTTTAGCAACCAAACACTAAACCTGCAAGAAGACCAACACCATCGATGGTGGAAGGTGGATGAGTCAATTGTATGCGCCCTCCCCAACATGGCATCAGGACTAATCTTTAAGGTAGGACAGGCCGGACGCCTGTACCCCATCATCTCCCCTGAGTACAAGGACCTCCCTGATATGAGCAGAGCTAAACCGATCAGAGTGATTCAAATGGAGAAAAAAACTGCCAACGTTGATCCATTGATCCCAGAACAACAATATGCCCACCTCTACTGGTTCCGCCAACAAACCCTGGATGAACTCAAGTGGGATCCTGCAGAGTGGTGTTGGAGAGGAACCATGTGCAAGGGCTTCTTCCAGTACGAAACCAAGCTTGGCCGAAAACTAATTAGAGTGCCGACTCGATCCTCCCTCATCCGGAAAGCAAAGGCCCAACAGATCCCCTCCAGGAACCACTCATGCTGCATCAACAAGATTTGGAAGGGGCGTTGGTCAGCTAAGAACTACTATTTCATGTGGCTGGCCCAACAAGAACATCTTCCCTCTCTGGCAGCCATACATCTCCCAAACACCGCCTGCAAGACCTGTGGAGCCACAAAAACACAGCGACACATCTTATGGGAATGCCCAGTAGCACAGGAAGTATGGGAAGGTGCAGCAGCAGTACTCAAACGAACGTCAATCGGAGGAGCTGCAATCACATATGAATCAGTGTTTTGGGGTAGTTTCATCCAGGGAAAAACAAAGAATCCTGATGCATGGAAGTGGCGACACAACGAAGCCCCACACTTTGATCAACTTAACCAAACTCGAACACACATTAAACATCTCCACCAGGAGCTCTTCGATGTGCTTCGGGGATGCACACTAGCAGAGATATGGAAGGCTCGCTGCGCCAGGCTGTTCAATGACACGGACCCCTCGGCTCGAGCAACTATCTCAAAGGTTTGGTCCAGATTGATCGTCTCACTCACAGCTTGCCTGGACATGCTGATCAAACACGGCAAGGAAGGGAAGATAGCGAAGGAGAAGGAGCTGTGGCCGTTTTTTAGAGGAAGAAGCGAGGCTGGAGAAGAAGAATGGGCGTGGAAACCACCAATATGGATTTGGCAGCACATGTTCAGGAACGACGGCACGTGTACCTCCTCGAGTCGACAGAGTTCAACACCAAGAACTTTGGAAGCTGGAGGATTGGAGGTTACGGACTCGAGTACCAATTCTACTTTGTCCCCCTCGTCACACCCGCCCTAAAAAAAATCTTGAAGAGCTCTTTCCCGGTTTCGAGCAGGTCGAAATCGGACTCTATGGTTTATAGAGGATAAATTAATTAAAACCCCATTGACAAAGGGTATGATAGCAAGGGTGTTTAGCAGACACAGTAAGCTATCATCCGACGATATTGAAGGACTAGTCTCAATACATAAGGGTTTTTGCCAAGCCAATGCAAAACAAAGCAAAAGAGAACTAATAAGCCAAGCCAAGTATGCTTGGCTAAATAAACACTTAGAGATTCCTTCCTTATGCTCATCCGGCTAAGTACAGATGCTAAGTCTAGTTTACTAACACTTGGATAAGAGGGGTTAATAAAGGGAACCAGTAGTACCGACCTCCTGCCGTCGTTTCAATAAAGAAAGAGTGTTCGTAAGGACTGGCCAACAAATATCTACTAGTTGATACATTTGCCTCCCATTGATAATAGCACAATTATTTTATAATCCTATAAAATTCTTAATGTTAAAATTAAAAACAAAAAACAAAAAAAAATATCAAAGGTATTATCAAAACTCATGTTTTCACTCCTTTAACTTTCACAAATCTTGAGGAATGTGTGGTAGTATAGCATGGGCACCCTTTTTACATCCATAGACTTTATACCAATTCCAAACTTAAATATATTGTCCTTGTCTTATAGCAAGTTTTGGTATAAAAACCTTTGAAAAGTTATGATAATCTAGAG